CTATAAGGTTTTTAATGTAATCTTTTAAGAAACTGTTTTCCAAGTTCTTACGTTCTTTGGAATATATTTATCTCTTTTTGGCATTGAATAAGCAGTAATCATTAACCTCAGTGAGTTCCTCCTGCTTATTCAGGGTGACTGCAAAGGGAGCCAAGGGCGACTACAGAAACTGGTTTCTGTAACAGATCAGAGAGATTTAATTTTTCTATAAAGACTTTTGTTCCCAGTAAACTCAGGTATAATCATGACTAGCAAGGCAAAACTAAGAGTTACCATAAGAATAAGCATGGCAAAAGTTAGAGAAGCCTGAAGCCCATGAGCTCCCTAAGGTCTTTGCAGTATTGTATTCATAGGTCCTTGCCAAATGGATAGGATTCTCCAAAGGGCCTTGTCATCTAAGGAGTTCCATTTGCAACACACCTATGCGCCGTTCCCAAGGGTGACGGCATGGCTTCCACCACCCAAGGTCCTCGATCCTTTTTGTTTGTTTGTTTGTTTTTGTTTTTGTTTTTCGAGACAGGGTTTCTCTGTATTATTCTGGAGGCTGTCCTGGAACTCGCGCTGTAGACCAGGCTGGCCTCGAACTCACAGAGATCCGCCTGCCTCTGCCTCCAGAGTGCTGGGATTAAAGGCGTGCTCCACCATCGGCCCTCAATCTTATCTGTAGCTACACATTTGCTGAGTTGTTTGCCCAGTGTCTCTTCCACTCCTCCTAGAAGGACTGCATTGATTTTATTCACCGGACTAAAGCCAGCAGAAATGTGTAGAGTTTTAGTTCTCTGGAAAGAAGGGTGGTGGTGGGCACAAGCACCACCCCCCATTTCGTACATGTTCCTTTACCGCTCTATTCTCAACTAAGCCCCGAGCATAATGGGTGCTTTGTGGAATAAGTAAGTATTAATGCGGATTGACTGTTCACTTCCAGTGAATCTTTAAAAATCACCCAAGTGAAGAGAGTAAAAGTATGTCTATACTGCAGGTCCTGGAAGGCTTTGGAATGGTGTGGCGCTTACTCACATATGTGGGAGGTACAAGTTGTATTGGCCCCTCTCTCCAGGTTTCTTGGTTTTTGTCAATGGATAAACTGACAGAACACGCAAATGGGTGACTTTTGACTCCCTAATCATATCAGCTTCATAGTGGATGCTAAACGTTGCTCACTAATGAGACGCAGGCTAAGGAGAATACTTGAATTGCAACAGACACCTGAAGCCAAAGGAATTGGAAATTGTATTCGAAGCTAGGTTTATGAAGGCAAGGAGTGAGTTTCTATAAGAAGGTGGAACATGCATGATAGAAAGTGCCACCCAGTGTGCTGGCAGTGTGATTTTTTACAAGTGATCATGCATATACTTACTTGAGAACCCGGGGCCTCTCCGAACTTAACCAGCCCCATCTTTCATCTTTCTTCTAAGGCCCAGTAGGGGAAACCCTATCATGGGTCTGCCAGTGAAGTAATGAAAATTTCCTGACCTCACAAGAAGTCTTTGTGACACCATTGCCTCACCTTCAGACTTGAAGACGTCATAGAGGACCCCCGGTCTGGGCCCCGTGGCTTCCGGGAGGCTTTAGGAGACCAGACCAGTCACTCCGGGTGCTTGGTCCTGGCAGCAGCGGAGGCTGCGGAGGCTGCGCTGCCTCGCTTTGCGCAGCGGAGGTGGGCCAGGCCCACAGGGTGTGGGCTAGGTGATTCTTGCTCGTGCAAGGCAAACTTTGGGAAGGAAACGGGCAAGCGGAGTGTGGAAGCAGGCCGCTTAAGTTTTCTTTCAAGAAAGCTGCCTCTGCCAAACCTCTTGAAGTTTGGCGGTCCTCCCATCAGGCCAGTTGGGGGTCCATGAAGAGGCTCACGCCCAGAGGTATGATGTGAGGTGGTATTAGGAGAATGGCACTCATGAATAGGAAGTGCATCTGCGACCTTTGCTCCTGCGGCAGGCATCACTGCCCACATCCCCCTACCAAGATTTATGAGAAGACAGAGAAGCCATGTCTTTTCACCGAATACGCCGAGAAATATTCTACCTATCATTCTTATGTGCCACGAGAGTCTTTCAAACCCAAGGTGGAGTACCAGAAAGGACCTATACCAATGGAAGGCCTATCCACGACAAAGAGAGATTTTGGGATTCACAACATAGCACCAGTGAAACATTATCGTCCTGACAAGTTCACACCAAGTCCAGACGAAATGGATTTCCTGACAACATATAATCAACACTACAACTACTACCCTGCCAGTCGAGTGAGCCTCATCAAACCTCGAGACAACAAACATCCGTGTACTGACAAAATGGAGAGTGTGCCTACGTACAAAGCTGATTATTTACCTTGGAACCAACAAAGAAGATCTTCGTTTCGTCCACAGCAATTATACCATCCTTCGTCCTGTAGGTTCGATCATAGAACCACACACCAGGACGATTATCCCATGAAAAATCTTGTGGATACAGTCAGTTACAAACCTCAACCTGGACCAAAGATCTGTAACATACCCCTGGAGAATATGACAAGCTACAAATCGAGCTATGTGGCCCATCCTGTGGAGAAACGGTATATGTACGAGGTGGAGAAATATAAACCATGTGAAATCCCTTTTGACGGCCTTACCACCCACAAAGATTCCTACAAGGGTTTGATGGGCGAGCCTGCGAAGAGCTGGAAACCTGTATCCAAGCACTCTGGGCTAGACATACCTTTTCCAACCAACACTGAATTTCGAGATAAATTCCTAGCTTGGCCAACACCTCAGATAGTCCCCAAAGAGCCTGTCCCCTATATTCCACCTGAAGGGGAGATGGATCTTCTGACAGTTGCTCAAGCTGACTACATGTGCCCTAATGCTGTTCCTGCCCAGTCCTGCCGGCCAATCCACCACATAAAGAAGAGTGAGCGCTTTGAAGGCTCCACCACTACCAGAGAAGATTACAAACACTGGGCCAATGTCCGCCGAGAGCCTGTCAAACCTGCTTCCCAGCTGAAATTCCCTGATGAGCCTATGGATTACATGACCACCAATCGTGCACACTATGTGGCCCACACACCTGTCAATACCAAAAGCTGCAAGCCTACCTGGTCTGGCCCTCGTGGAAACATCCCTTTAGAAGGTCAAACCACCTATTCTACTAGCTTTACTCCCAAGGAAATTCAAAGGTGCCCAGCTTCATATTCTGAACCCCCTGGCTACATCTTTGAGGAGGTGGATGCTGTAGGGCACAGGGTGTACAGGCCGGCTTCTCATACAGCTTCTCAACAGAGCCACCATCTTGGCTTTGGTGATGCGGAAAGTCCTAGCCAGAGAGAATTGGTAGTCCCAGACTGCCATTGAAAAATGGTTGTTTAGCAATTAAAATGGCACAGTATAGTAAAAGCAAAAAAATTGAGGATTATTAATTGGACAAAAAAAAAAGAATTCCCCAAAATGAAAGCAACAATATAAATGAAACAGCAACTTTTATTATCAATTTCAGGATATTTGAATGAAATAAGAATCACTTAAGGAGAACAACATGAAATTACCAGCTGATTGACTCCTCTTAACCCTTCGTCTATTGTAACTCTCTATGCCCCCAACTCCCCCTTCCCCCCATTTCCCTTGCTTTGTGCTCATGAAATCAAAGCTGGTCTCAAGAAAATTCTTATCTGATCTAGGTGTATTTTACTAATTTGATCATTTGCCAAGCTTTAAGTGTCAATAATAAAATTTGTTGGGGAAAAAGTAAAATGGTTGTGACCGCTCATTTTTGTCTTTTAATTCTTTAAAATTTTTCGTAGTGTTGTGAATTAAAATTTCATAGTGTTGTGAATTAAAAGTAGACCCTTATACATGTTAATCAAATACTTGACTGCTGAGCTATACCCTAACCTCTTTAATTCCTTTGGGTAAGCAAATTTCCAGTACTTATATATTAAAATTATTCAACTTAAAATTTATCTTAGTATCAACAACTTTGTATTACTTCAAGAAATATTGGACCTTAGTTTCTAGGTAAACTATACAAGTACTACAATTGGTTTGGAATGCTGAAAATGAATGGATGTTTTTGTAAACCTGTACTGAAAATAGAAAAAAAAACTCATAAAATACGCACAAAAGTAGTGCTTAGCCCTTGGTTTAAGCAAATTAGCAAAAATTAACCTCCAGATTACTGTTTTATATGGTAAATTTTTAAATTTCACTTACTTTATTTACTTATTTATCTTTTTACCCTGCAGGTTCTTTGTGTATATATTATGACTTCCAGTTTGTGTTTTTATAGGATTGGTGAGTGTGCAAACTAGTGGCTTTATATTTGTTTCTTATGCCTTTTCTTGGGCTATTTCCTTTTCTTTTGTCCTATTCCAATATGTTAGGGTTTTTAAAAAATCTTATTATATTTTATTTTTATCGTTTAGAAGCCTGTTTATTTTCTAATGAGAGACAGAAGGGTTAGATCTGGATGGAGAAGACTTGGAAAGGAACTTGGAGTAAATGGAGAAGCCAGAAGCCTAAAACATTTAATTAGCAAAACTTTTACTATTCTATAATCTCACAAACATATTCCTTTTTCATCTACCTGTTCGCTGCTCGCTTGCACATTCATTTTTTAAAAACAGAGCAACACTGTTATGTCATTGCGCTTATATGATCAGTTTCTACTTTAAACTTTAAAAGTATTATTTTATGAACACGATAGAAGGAACACAGGCGGGAAGACCAGAGTAGCAGCTGGCACAAAGGAAAACTGCGATTTTGCAAAGCAGTAGGTTGGGAGAGCAGACTCCAGACTTCCTGGCTCCATTATCCTCGTCCCTACATTCCTGGGACCCGCATCAGGGTGTTTGCCTCAGGGTTCAGTCTCGCAGCATCGGGTCCCGCCCCTCAGCTCTTGGCCCCGCCCCCACAGACGCAGGCCCTGCCCCCTCCTCGGCCCCATCTAACATTCCAGGCTCCGCCCCGCCGACTTAGGCCCCGCCCCGTCGCCCCACTGCCTAGGCCCCGCCTATCGCTTCGGCCCCGCCCCGGCCGGCCGCCATATTGATCCTTCTGCCGAAGTCGCCCGCTTTCGGAGCTGGAGCTGAGTAACGCTCTCTACGCCGACGAGCCTCCGGCGCTCTTTCTTCCCTGGTTGCGTCCAGGCGGGCTGGCCAACACCTCCCGGGGCGTCCTGTGTGTGGCTGGAAGGTGAGCGGGGGCTTGGGTCAGAGCTGGTTGAGGGTGAGCGCGCCCACAGGAGCTGGGGGCCGCCTGGGGCGAGGGGCGCGCCAGATTGGCGCGGGCTTGTAGATTGCTGGGCCACAGGGGCGGCTTGTCCCCCAGTCTGGTGACTGACGCAGGAGGAAACATCGGCTTGCCCACTCAAACACACGAGCAAAGGGACACACACCCAACCACTCGAGACACTTACGCCCACGGGTGTGCGCGCTACCACACACACACGCGCGCGCACGCGCTACCACACACACACACACACGCGCGCGCGCGCTACACACACACACACACACACGAAGAGAAATCTATAAAGCACCCCGGGGAGGAGATACACCCAAACCCCCAAACTCTTAGGGTGGTGGAGAGATGCGCACACGGACAAATAACGCAAACACCTGGGTACACACATATACACCCGTCTTTCCCCTAACCACATAGGGCCACACTCACTCGAGACCAAATCTTGCTCTGGAGTGACTGACTAATGCTGAGGAAAGCAAGGGCGCTTGTGTTATTTGAGTTTGACGACCTCTGACATCCTACCCAGTTGAGCATTTACTTAATGTCTTTGGCCCACGCAGGTGAGGGAGCTTGAAAGATAAAACCAGGGCAAAGACCATGTAGGCGGTTGGGAACATTGATTCAGATCTTGACTGAGGTTTCAGAATCGCGTTCTTGCTTTTCTTCCATCTTAGTACGTGAAAAGACCAGATGAGACTTTTTAAGTGCTTACCAAATGGTTGGTGTGTGTATTATTGTTTTGTTTTTTAAGTGATGACACATCCCGTGATCATACTTCTTTTGAGGAATAACTTTTCTGCAAGTTTCCAAATTGGCACGTGACCAGTCTTTTCACAGCGTCCTCATAAAATCATAAAATCAACAGACTGAATTTGGGTTTTGTTTTGTTTATACAAGTTTTTTTTTTCTGGCTAGTTTCACTGCAGTGGAAAATCCCTACACTGCCTGAAATCTCAACTAGAGTTGAAGGAAACCCAGGGCTTTCAACTAAGGACTATTTTCCTTTTTCTTTTCTTTCTTTACTCGTCTCCTTCCATTGCTGGAGACCAAACCCTGGGCCTTGAGCTTGCTAAGCAAGAGCTCTCTACCCCTGAGCAAAAGTCCCAGCTCTTAGGGACTTAAGTAGCCTGCCTTTACTTTTCTTATATAATCCTAGGTCGAAGTTATCATTCATTGTGTAGAACTCCAAAGTATCTAACATCAGAGTGCCATATCTTACATATCTTACAGTGGTGGGCAGTTTTTTTCAAGGTTTTCATGTACATTGTAGTTTCTTGTTGTACTGCAATGTTTGTGCTTTGGAGGCTTATTTACTTAGAACATTTGGGGATTTAGTGACATTTTTGTTTTCTGCAAGGTTAGAATAGACAAGCAAAAATTAGAACATCCATTGTTGGAGGCTAGCAAATACATTGATGGTGTTCTCTTTTTCTAGAGATTATTTTTACATTTTCCCTATCCAACGACTTCTATTTTATACTATAGCACTCTGGAGGCCTGAAGTTCTTTTAGTTCTAGCAATTTTTTTTAATCTTCAATTTCTTACTGTTTATTTCGAAGTCCTACACCATATCACTTGAACTTGTTTTCCTGGTCTTTCCAAAGCAATGGTTCTGTTTTACAAATGATGAATTTGCTGGGACCTGGGAGGGTCAGATCTCTCCAAGGTCACCTAGGGAATGAGGGAGCAGTGCTGATTTACAGAACATGTTTGTGGGCTTTTTAGAGTAGTAGTTTTGCACTGGGGGGAAATTTTATCCTCTCAACAGATATTTGAAAAATGTGTGGAAGCATTTTTGGTTCATAACTCCATGTCACATCAGACTTCTATAGTTCTTTAAGCACAATGTGATTTTACTATTCAGGATAGCATTTGTATTATTTTAAAAGCTTGCTGAGGGGAAAATTCTCTTTATTAAGAGGTATATGAATACCTGGTAACAGAATCCATTTTTTGTTGTTTCATGGTTTGTTTGTTTTTTATTTTTAAGCTGGTCTCAAATTTGGTATATTATCAGAGACTGGCTTTGAACTCTTGATCTTACTGCCATGGCCTTCTAAATTCTGGGATTACAGGGATGCACTACCACACAAGTTTCGGGATCTTTTTTTTTTTTCTAAGACAAAAGTGAGAAAAGCTTTCAAGATATTGGGAACCATTCCTCTGGATTTAATTAAGTTTGTTTCTTCATTATTCCATTCATCCACAGACATTTTCTGAGCAACTTGCTGGGCACTGGTACAAAGGTGCTGGCCAGAAGGAAGAATAGGGGAAGCCTTCACCTTCCTGAAGCTTGCAGTGTAGTCGCAATCATAGGACCAGGTTCTGACGTGGTCCTAGAACAGAGTTTGTTTTTTGGACTACTCAGGAACTGAGTCAGGTGCTCATTAAGGAAACAACACATCCACACCCAGCACAGAAGTACCTGTGTCATGGCATTCTTTTCTGAGCAGACTTAGATGAAGTGGAGGACAGTTGCTGTGCTCTTTAGTTTTGTATAGTTGAATTAGGTGTGTGCATTTACCAAACTATAGCTAGAGACTAGTCTTTTTTCCCCCATAATAAGGTGTCACTGTGTGGTTTCAGCTGGCTGCAAATTCACTTTGTAGACCAGGAGGCTGGCCTGCAAACTCAATCCAACTCACAGTCCTCTTGCCTGGAGAAACTTTGTTTTTTGGCTTTTCGAGACAGAATGCCTCTGTATTGTTTTGGAGGCTGTTCTGGAACTCACTCTGTAGACCAGACTGGCCTCGAACTCACAGAGATCCTCCTGCCTCTGCCTCCTGAGTGCTGGGATTAAAGCTGTGTGCCACCAGTGCTCAGCTGGAGAAGCTATTCTTAATGAATATAAGCATCTTGCTTAAATTTAGCCTCAGTAGATAATAGATAGGTGTTTTATTGTTGAAATCAAGAAATAAAATGAAAAATTTAAAAATAACACTTGTATAATTTTCTTTTTAAAGATTTATTTATTTTTAGCAAAACAGTGATAGTGCACGTCTCTAATTCCAGCACTTGGGAGGTAGAGGCAGGTGGATCTCTAGTGAGTTCCAGGCTAGCCTGGTTTACAGAGTGACTTCCAGGACAGCCGCGATTATTACACAGGGAGACCCTGTCTCAAAAAACAAATACAAAGCTCCCCCCTCCAATTTATTTAATTTGTGTTTATGTATATAGGTGTTTTGCTTGCATGTGCGTCTGTTCACCATTTTCGGTCTATGGAGGCCAGAAGAGAGTAATGGATCCCCTGGAATGGAGTTACAGATGGGTGTGAACTGCCAAGTGGGTGCTGGGAATCAAACCTAGGTCCTCTGGAAGAGCAGCCAGTGCTCATAACTGCTGAGCCATTTCTCCAGCTGGCATTTTTTTTGGTGTTTTTCAGCCTGATTTTTTCCATGCTTGTCTGAGACCAGTCAGAGTGTATGCTGCTCCATTCTAGTGGCAGTTATTACTGTTAGGTGAACCTTGGGGATAGGTGATGGTTGTGGGGGTGGGGTGGGGGAAGGGTTGAATCTGTTTAGCATTTCCTGAGAAAAAAGTCACATAGTCAGTAGGTTTGTTTGTGGATGTGAGTGCATGTATGGCATATATGCAGGTGTCTGGGGGTGAGAAGGATGTGGAGTATCCAGTACTATATTCCCTTGTATAGTCCCTTGAGACAGTCTCTCACTGAACCTGGAGTTAGGCTAGTGGTTAATAAGCTGCAATAATCTTCGTTTTCATGAGACCACAGCCAGCTTTTTCTGGGGGTTCGAACTCAGGGCCTCTTGCCTGCACAGCAAGTTTTGTTACCCATGGAGCCATCTCCCCAGCTCTGAAACTGGCTTTTGACTCCTGCCACTGCACAGTGTTTTTCTTTGCTAACAAATACAGATTTCTCTATTGCTTGCTTACCAGATATTCTCTGCTGTGGGGAGTGTGTGTGGTGCTTGGGGGGCAGGTTACAGGAATGCTGAGTTTCATATCACCTGAAAATGATTGCCAGTACATGCAGTCTAACAAAGGTATGTGGGTTTTTGTTTTGCTTTTCTGGGAAGGGTCAAGAGGAATTGGTGCCAGGAGTCTTGTTCAGTTACTATTTGTCTTGCTACTCTAGCATAGTTATGTCACCACATTGCTTTCTTTGTAAATACTTCCTAATGTCTGCAAGAGTATGTATGTCAGGTAGAGACAGCAAATATTAACTGCCACAATTCTGCCCTGGGCAGTTTGTTGGCTAAGTAGCAGGAGGAAATAAGCCAATTAGAAGTGGTGCCCAATGAGGCTAAGTTGAAAGCTATGTAGATAATAAAAGCTAGTATAAGAAAATAGGGTTTGTAACTTCCAGGTCATCCACAGAGGCCATTTATTAAACAGCTGTTGGGGAGGGGAGGAACTGAAGTCAGAAAACGCCTCAGGGAGTTTGGTGGGAAATCAGGAAGCAAATGAAAGGTCAGGCTACCTGAGGTAGGATACCTGGAGCCAACTAGGTGTGTAGGTGGTGGTGGTGGTGGCCGTGGCCGTGGCGGCGCATGGCATGGCGTGGCCGGGCAGGCCTGTGGCAGTTCCAAGCCTGCTTTGCCTCAGGGTGCCTGGGCTGGTTAGATAACTTGAAGGAGAAATGTGTTTCTCAATGTGACTCTTGGTATTGTACATACTGTTATGTGCTCTGGGTATTTCCACATTCTGGATTTTTCCACTACCGTTTGTTAATTTTTGACCCTGATGATTTCAAGCTGTAGAATGTCATTGCATTGGAGAGACAGACAGGACCTGGAGATGTAGTCAGTGGGTGTTAAGTAAGATAACAGCTCTGTGTGAGGCAGTCGGGCCTGGCTTCATACTTTGTGGACACAGACTCCACTTTTGTCTTGGGCTGAACGCATTATACATGTTTGCCATTGTGTTGACAGGCTGGAGAAACAATATGGAAGGATTCCACTCATTCATTCCATGACTATGTTTGTTTTAATCTAAGAGTAAAGGGCTGAACTAGTTTAATCCCAGGTTTTGGTTATTTGGAGTAAGTGTTCGGGTACAGAAATTTTAAGATAGCTTCCAAGAGGTAGTTGCTCATAAGCAGCTAGTGTTAGCAGTGTAAGAGAAATGTGTAAATGCCTCACACTTATTTCAGTATCTTGCTCCTAAAAGGTAGAGTGTTGAATGATTCTAACAGGGCCAAAAAGGCCAGGCTTGGTAATGTTTGCCTGTAATCCAGGCACGTGGGAGACAAAGACAGGAGATTAGGACTTCAAGGCCATCCTTGGCAGTATAGGAAATTCTAGGCCATCTTGGACAACATGAGACCCTGCCTCCAAAACAAAGTAGAATAAAAACAAATGGAAATCTTTGGGTTGCTGTCTTAAGCTTATAGGGTCGCTCTAGTCTTCTGGTTTCAAGCTTCTATGGTTTCAAGCTTCTATGTTTGAACTGGTAAGTAGACCTGGACTACATACATACACATTATAGTAGGAAGTCAAATAAAAAAAACTGTTAGGGGGCCACATGTTGGTGAAAGCAGAGTAGTCTGGAATGAATTATGAATTATAACCCTTTTTTTTTGAGACAGAGTTTCTCTGTGTAACAGCCCTAGCTATCCTGGAACATGCTTTGTAGACCATGCTGACTTTGAACTCACAGGGATCCACCTGCCTCTGCCTCCTGAGTGCTGGTGCCACCACTCCCCGACTGAATTCTAGTGATTTGAAAAAAACAGTTGGTTTGCAGTAAACAGACAGTTACCATCCTTATAATCATCCTTTAATTTTTTTTCCTGTGATCCTGGGCAGATGCACCTTCACAAAGTTATGTCACCAGAAGAAATGTGTGCTATGTAGTGTTGAATTTGAACTCCCTTGAGCATGGTACCATACAATGCCAGCATCTCTGTTTCCTTTAACATTTAGAGTAGCCTGTCATACTCCTGTGAAGCCATATAGTTAGGAACCATAGCATTAGATGTTGGTGTTTTCCATTAGAGTTTGTGTAAAGATTTATTTAGTGGTAAGGAAACAAGGCATTAAAGTTGGTTTGTAATTCCCTACCACTCCCCTTTCTTTAAGTCTGTAAGCTTTTCTCCCCAGCTTGTAGTTTTGGAATGCTGAGGGGAACGGGCTGCAAAGGAAAGCACAGCCCAGGTTTCCTATGCAGACTGTCCCTCATCCCTACTTTGTATCTCTTTTCTCCCCATTGTCTACTCTGTGCACTTGTTCAGAAAGCAAATGTGCTGGGGTGGTAGGAGGGTGCCTGTTCTTTCAGAGTGCTCCGGCTTCCAGTCTTTTCCTGTCTCTGGTTGGAATACTGCTGGAGAACTAGGCAGTGGCTTTTCAGTCCTCTGGCTGAGTTTCCTTGTCAGTCATTTCTTCTTGAGCTCCACACTGCCACCTCTGTAGGATTAGCTTGCCATTCTCTAAATTTTGTTGATTTTCATCTAAAATAGTTTTTTCTTGGTGGCTTTTTTTTTGGCCGTGTATTTTTTTTTTGAGTCCTTACTGTCACTTGGGGGTGAGGTTACCACTTTTGACCTACTGTGTTTAGCTGGTCCTGGAGATGGGTAATCTTGGTTAGCTTCCTGTGTCTGATCTGTGAAGCATGGGGGGTAGTATCTGATCTGTGGGAGATTCTTAAGAAGCTATGTCTTAGATACTGTGATGGTTAGTGTTGTCAACTTGTAGACTTGTGGGCATCCTGTTTAACTGAGGTGGGAAAAGCCCTCCATTGTGGCTAACACCATTTTCTGGTTGGGATCCTGAGTTGTGTACTTGGAGAAAAGGAGCCACATGTATTCATCCTCTCCTGCTCCTCATTGTGATGCAATATGACTAGTCACTTGAGATTCTTGGTTGCCTTGACTTCCCTGCTGTGGTAGGCTGTATCCTTTCTCGCTTCCCTTCAACTGTAAGTCACAAACTTTCTTACGTAGCCTTTGTCAGAGTATTAAGACAGATACTTAATAGATTTATTGTAGTAAGCAGTAGCTGTTAAGATATTTAACTCAATAAGACAATGGCAATGGGTTGGGAAGGAAGTAGACAGAATTCTTTGTATGATTGAATCAGGTAGATAAGACAGAAGAGGTCTTGGAAGGATAAATAACATGCTTTGCCATATTGACTTTGAATACTGCTACTATAAAGGGACTGGAAGTTCTTGTGTGGCCCTGAGGTGAGAGAGGGTAAGGTGAACTTAAGTGTGACTTTGAAAGATTTCCTGTGAGAAGAGTCCATTCTAGTATCTCAGTAGGGTTAAACTGGGTGCCACTGAAGAGGTGTCATGTACATCCAAGAAACAGACTTCATAGTTACCAAGCCTAGACTTATTCTACCCTTCACTGCCTATGTCCCCATCTGCCTCCACACTAGATTAACTCCCCAGAGTTACACACCTCCATTCCCTGGAACATCAGCAAGTCATCAGAAAATGGCCACTAGCCAATCCAATGGCTTCTTCTCACTTCTCAACACAGGGCCCTAAAGTGACAATAACCCTCTCTTGAAAATTTTCTAAAATAGTTCATGAAACCACTGACGAGAGTCTGCTTTCTCCCTGACATCATCAGCTTTCTTCAGCCAGGTGGCTCCCTTTCCTAACAACGTCTCAAAGAATGTACTGTCCTGAGGTTGAAGTCCATAACTCTTCCCACTGAGGCGATAATGGGGGAGTGGCTAGTCCTTATTAAGACAGGAAGGATCCCACCTCACCTCTGGGTAAATGTGTTTTACTAGCAAGATACTTTGTCAAGTGAGTGTCCATTTCCTCAGTTGTTTTAGAAAACATGATTACCCTTCTGAGATTCTGTGGCATGTGTGTCTTCAAGGAATTTGCTGTCAGTTATCATGGCCACAGATGGAGAGACAAAAAAAACCAAAACAAAAAAACCTTCATTCTTCTTTCTTTTGCTTTAGGGCACTGTGTTGAGAAGTGAGAAGAAGCCATTGGATTGGCTAGTGGCCATTTTCTGATGACTTGCTGATGTTCCAGGGAATGGAGGTGTGTAACTCTGGGGAGTTAATCTAGTGTGGAGGCAGATGGGGACATAGGCAGTGATGGGTAGAATAAGTCTAGGCTTGGAAAGGTTTTCTGTGAGAAGAGTCCATTCTAGCATCTCAGTAGGATTAAACTGGATGCTACTGGAGAGGTGTCCGTTACATTCAGGAAACATTTATGAAGAGCTACTTGCAGTGTGTCTGGCATTGGACTGGTGACAACTTCTCTGTAGGTAGGATGGGATTTCTAAGCCTTTAATCTAGTTGAGTCTTAACAAACAGCTGCTCTTTCTATATTTATATCATTAGTCAGCAACCAAGAACGGGTTCATGCCTCAAAGTCTCTTGGTGTTGAAGCTCAGAAGTAGTGTTTTTTTTTTTTTTTTTTTTTTTTTTGGTTTTTCGAGACAGGGTTTCTCTGTAGCTTTGGAGACTGTCCTGGAACTAGCTCTTGTAGACCAGGCTGGCCTCGGACTACAGAGATCCGCCTGCCTCTGCCTCCCGAGTGCTGGGATTAAAGGCGTGCGCCACCAACGCCCGGCTCAGAGGTAGTGTTTTAAAGACAAAAATCACAAAGACCATTAACTCAAATCAAAGTTGGATGAAGGTAAGAGTAACTGTGAAATGTCTGTTCCTGGCAGAGCATAATTGTTATTTCAGACATAATATTACAATTATTTTTTGACTTGTACATTTTTCAGTTAGTTTAGTTTACATTAATTGTTTTGTTTAATATATCTGGACCCTGGGCCATGGCAATCTCAAATGTCTAAGGCAGATGTGACTGTTTAGGGAGGATGGGACATTGGGTGAGAACAGTCTAAGCAAACAAAATGGATTCATGACAAAATGGCCATTATCTTGGTCACTTTAGTATGTTGTGGATTGTATTTGGTTTGTGTTTTGCTGATTTTATTTTTCTAATATACATGTTTAGATTCGTCCCTTTCATAATTTAATTTTCTTAAACCCTCAGCCATAATTCCTAGTATTTTTTTTAGATAAGGTCTTGCTTTGTAGTCCAGGCTAGCTTCAAAATTTCAGTCCCGTTAGGATTACGGGTCTGGGATACCACACCAGTTTCCCATTATTCTTGTGACTTTTCTCTGTTTCATTCTGTTTTCATTTTGCCTTTTAAAATTCAGCCTTAAATTGGGCATAACAGCACACACCTTTCATCCCAGCTCTCAGGGACACAAAGGTAGGTGGATCTGTCTTGTTTCTGGTTTACATTGAGAAATCCAGGGCAGTCAGGGATATATAGGAGACCATGTCTGAAAAGAACAACCTAAGCTATTCCCACCCTTTTCTTTTTTGTGGAAAACTGTTTTATGGGCCAGTGAGTTGGTTCAGAGTTGGAGATCTGAGGTTTATGCCTAAACCACATAGTGGAGGGAGAGAACCACTTCCCACAAGTTGTACTCTTGTGTGGCACACATACACAAGTAAATAAATAAAATGTATTAAAACTTAAGGTCAGACCTAGTCACAAGCATGAGGACGTATGATCCCTAAATCCCAGGCAAAAAATGCCAGGCTTGGTAACAAGCTCTTATAATCTCAGTGCTAGGGAGATAGAAACAGGAGGATCCTTGGGGTTCTCTAGCCAGTCAGTTGAGTCTAATTGGTGGGCATTTAGGCCAATGGAAGATCCTGTCTCAAATGAGGTGGATAGCATCCAAGGTTGTTCTGTGGCTTCCGTATGCAGTGCCCTCATGCACACATACACACCACACCATAACACAATCTTTCCAGTATAAAGTTCAAGCATACAGGTTTCTGTTCCATTATTATTATACTTATCCTGAGACCACATGGGATTCTAGGGATTGCCCCTCTCTTGTTCACTCATCACTTTGTAGACCTCCTTTGTCTGATACAGTAGCTACTAGTATTGTGGAATGCTTTAATTAAAATGAAGTTAAAAATTCAGTTAAGCAAACTTAAGCACATTTCAGATGTTCATTGACTACGTGGTTCATTGGACATCTCCAGCAATACAGAAAGTTCTGAATTATCTGTTATTTAGTTGTTTAATTGAATCTTTTGTCCTCTTACCGTACCCAACTACAGATGTGCTCTTATGAAAAATTAATGTATGTTTTTATTCAGTTAGATGCTTCATTTTCCAGAAAGTGTACTTACTGGAATGAGTTACTTAAATAGAGTATGTGCTTTGTCAGAGATCGTTTGTTTTTTTATGGTTTGATTTCCACAATTTTTTTTTGTTTTATTGACCTTTCCTATCTTTGAGTCAGTATTCAGTGCTAGATAAACTTACTTCACTTTGACAATTTTTCCCCCCGAGATAGCTCTGGTTGTCCTGGAACTCACTCTATAGACCAGGCTGGCCTCAATCTCACAGAGATCTCTCTGTCTAGGTCTGCACTACCGCCACCTGCACCACTGCGCCTTCCCAGCACCACCTGGCAAAATCTTAAGTCTCCAAGTTGGCCTGTTCTTGTAGTATTTTCCTTAGTTCTGGTTTGTTTGTGTTTGCTTGTTTTGTTACCTTTTTGCTATAGAGCTAGCACCCATTAGACTTCATGATATCTCTGGCTTATATCTCATTCATTTTCTCTCTTTGCCCCCACCCCCCGCCTTCCCACCAACCTGGTTCCAGAGCTGCATCAGTCCCAAATAACACACAGGAGGCTATATTAATTATGAAGCTGTTGGCCTTGCTTGTTTCTTACTGGCTAGCTCTGACTTAAGTAATTACCCCATAATTGTTAATCTAAGTATTTCTCTTACCGGAGAAATTTCTGGGCTTCCTACCCCATGGCGGTTATATCTTGACTTCCTGTGTTTCTCCTACCCAGAGTCCTCCTGGACTCCTAATCCCACCTATCTTGCTTCCCTATTGGTCAACAGTGCTTTATTGACATATACACAGGACTTCCCTCATCACCCCCCCCCCCGTTCCCCCTCATAGTTACATTCAGGCTTACTATGTAGCCCAGGCTAGCCTTGAACTTGTGATCTACATGTCTTCAACTCCTGAATTCAGCCACCCTGCACTGCCTGAAGCTCAGCTTCATTCTCTCTTTTAAAAATAAGCATGACCTTTTAAATATATAATTTATTTAACTTTATTTCCATGTGCATTGGTGTGAAGGTGTCAGATCCCCTGGATTTGGAGTTACAGACAGTTATGAGCTGCCATGTGGGTGCTGGGAACTGAACTTGGGTCCTCTGGCAGAGAACAGCTAGTGCTCCCAACTTCTGGGCCATCTCTCCAGCCCTGAAGCTCAGCTTCTTAAGCTAGGAATTTAAGTGAAATGGTAACGATGCCTCTAATTAAGGCATTCAGGGTGAATGAATGCAAAAGGAACTTGTGAATTTGGGGAGAGGAAAACACCTTCCTAAATTTAAATGAGGAGTGATAAATTCAATTAGAATTTTCAGGGGTGAGAAGTTGCAAAGGGAGTATGTGTTTCTGAAGTTTTGAGGAGGTGGCTTATCAACTCCCTTTGGTACCTTACTAGACGAATGTGCTAGCTTTTCAGCATGTGCATGCCCACTTCTTGTTGATGTCTGTAAAGTACTTAAAGTGTTTTTCTTATTAGAATTGCAAGAATCAATTTTCCCCACATTTTAATGGATATCAAAAGTTAGAGGAAGAACTTACATATAAGTATAGCTAGAAATAATAATAGAATGACAAAAATAAAAAAGGAAATGATTTATTTTAGCATTTATTTGCATTTCACCATGCACAGAACATTTTACTCAATGTGGCAGACAAAAATAGGACAAATGAATTGTCTTCATTAGGGTTTCTGTTGCTGTGATAAAATATCATGACCATAAAAATCTTGGGGAGAAAACTTAATGTACTCATCACTGCCCATTTCCTCATCTGCTTTCATACCGGATTAACACTCCACTGAGTTAATTTAATTTACAGCTCTTAAGTCACACAGCCGTTGATGAGGGAAGTCAGGGTAGGAACCTGAAGCAGGAACTGATGCGGATCATGGTGGAATGCTGTTTACTGGCTTGTTCCCCATGGCTTGTTCAGACTACTTTATTATAGCACCCAGGGCCACCAAACCCAGGGGTGGCACTGCCCACACTTAGCTGTGCACTCCGACTTCAGTCACAGGCTTGCTCAGAAGCCAATCTGGAGGGAGCATTTTCTCATTTGAGGTTCTCCTCTTCCAAAAAGCTTCTGTCAAGTTAACATAAAACTAGTCATCAATGAATGGATGACATAGGTGTTGTGTACCTCCTGGGGACTTGACATTATAATTGGGAAACAGACATATGCAACTGGGAGCATATAAGCAAGTGGGAAATCATAGTGAAGGTGTGAATGATAGTGAGTACAAAGAAAAGAGAAAGGGTATCTTGGAGGCTTTTTGTATGAGGTGATTTGACCTAGGCCTCTGATGGTGAGTTTTGTAACCACTGTGGTACGAAGGTGCCTCCTAAACCAAGGTCATAGCCCAGGCTAAGATGGGGAGTCCACTGGAGGCAGTGGTAGCTTTGGATGGGAGTGGTGGTGAGTTGTGAATATACTGGAACAGACTTCAGAGGTTGGATAGCAGTAGTGCTCTAACCTGCTGAGCCTTCTCTCCAACTCCCTTAGTTAGGTAAATCATTTCTAGGAGTTTTTTTTAAACCAAGTTTCATTTTCTTTTTGGGAGAAGGTGGTTGTAGAATAATACTACATGTATTTTTTGTCTCAAAAGTTGATAACCAAGAAGAAAATATGAGCACTTTTATAATGGTATATAATATGTGTTTTTTTGTGTGTTATTGTGAATGTTTTTAACCAGCATATTTCGTTTTTATTACGAGGCATGGTAGACATGTTGAGTACTAAATTCTGAATGGTAAATATTAGGAGCATGGCAAAGAGGTTCATTAGAATTGGACGTATTTGAGACAGGGTGAGGTATAGCTGCATTGGCAAGTGGGTGCAATAGTTCTGCTTATAGTGGTTTATGGCCACTTGAAACTTGTCTGTAAACTTGCCTACTTGGGACTTCATGTTCTCATCCCACAGAAAGTTCCTACATTCTTCTAATAAGCCTGGCACTGTGGTGAAACACCTGTGTGCAGTTATCTGAGTACATGTTTCAGTAGCCCGTGTCGGCAGACACTGCTATCCCTGCTGTTCCCATGCGCTTTTAGGGAATTAAGTTCTCCCACCCTTGGGCTGTGTCCCTTGGGTTGGTACTAGGAACATGCTTTCATGATACTGCACTACCTCCTGGCCTTAACCTAACTCTACATAGGTGCCTTGCTCTCCCTTAGCTCCTGTTTTCTCTGTGGTTTCCTTATTTCATTGTCTGGAACATGGTTCTTAGCTATCCAAAATTTGGGCAGATTTAATTCCCAGTATAATTTTATAGCTGTGCCTGCATGTGAAAGTTAGAAAAGAAGGGTGGGCAGGTAATCTTGACAGAGGAAAAACAATACATACAATATATGATGTAGGGTCGTTTTTTTAAGGCTGAGATAGATCATTGATAGCATTTGGGTATTTTTAAATTAAAAATATAGATATAGTTAAATGCTTTTTTACATTTAATTATTTTTACACTTAAAATTATGAAAACAGGTACAGGCATGTAGTCCTAGTTACTCTGTAGGCTGAGGTAAGAGAATGAAAATTTCAAGGTCTGACCTAGAGTACAGGGCAGGTTCAAGACCAGACTGGGCAATGAAGTGAGACCCAGTCTCAAAAGTAATAAAAGTCCTGGGGTTATGTAATTCACTGGTAGAGCTTGCCTAGCATATGCATAGCCTTGGGTTCAATCTGTAATACTATAGGAAAAAAATCATCAAAACAAATGTATATCACTAATGTGAGCTTTGTTTTTTTTTTTTTTCTCCTGCAGATAATGATGCTTGCACTGAACTAAGGGTAAGGTTCACAACCTGTGTATTATGCTTTTTTTTTAATTTAGATGTCTTTATTTGTAGAATTTAGCTGTATTAAGTTATATTAAACTTGATAAAGATTATTGCTTTTAGATACTCTTTCCAACTGTGGAATATCAGTTCATATTACATTTATTTTTAGCTGAATTTTTTAAAGTTACATGGTAGGATATTTTTATTCCTTTAGCTTATGCTAAAGAAATCTCAAAGGTTCTGCTGCTTTTAGAAAAGAAAAGAGGCACTCGGTAGTTAATAGTGTTTTTACTCAGCTGAACTTGGTGGCACACTCCTTTAATCCCAGCACTTGGGAGGCAGAGGCAGGAGGGTCTCTGTGAGGTTGAGGCCAGCCTGGTCTACAGAGTGAAGTTACACAGGAAACCCTGTCTGGAAAACAAAACAAAACAAAAAATTGATTAAGTAATTAAAAGAAGTGTTTGTACTTGCAGTTTGGTTCCCAGCACCCATGTAATAAGCAGCTCACAACTGCCTGGTACAGGCACACACACACACACACATCAAAAAGAACAGGAATCATTTTTTTTATTTCCATAAGCTTGCTGTGATTATGTTAATGAGTGGATTGAACGAGGTTGGCTTCTCTTAAATATCATTGAGAACTAAGATGGTTTATATACTTAATTATTACACCATGTGCATTTGTGTACAACTCTAAGGTTAGAATCAAAGAGGTGGTCATGTGTGTTAATAATGTTAGGAAAGGCCCATATGTTCCCAAGTAGGAGTGTCTGGGAGCCCCCAAACAGTAAATGTGCATGTCAAAAATATTACTTGGTGTGTGGAATTAGCAAATGAAAAATTTCTTTTAAATGTCATGAATAGAAAATCCCATATAATTAGGATCACTACAATTATGTAAGATCATGAAACTTTAGTGTTTTTGTCAGTTAAAAACTGTGACTGTTGTGTCAGGTTCATGGAGCTCAGAGACTAACCCAAGGTGATGCAAAAGCAAAAGGTTTCATTTATTGTTCAAGGTGACCAACTTGGATCTCTTTCCATGGTGGAGGAAATGAGATCCACCAGCCAAAAAGAGAAGCTTTTAAAGGGGCAGACCATAAGGCTGAAGGCCACAAATTTCAGTTTCAATAATTACTTAAGGTCATACAAACTACAGAGTAAAGCAGTAACTATATATTTTAAGTAAGATACATTTGAGTAAGATAAGACAGGGCATGGGCTTGCAGGGTTACAGGGTCACAGGGTCTGCCAGCTGTCCCCTGGGCCTGGGTATCTTTACAGCTGGCAGGGGATCTTTAGGACCAGCAGTTAGCAAAGGAATGTTAACAGGGGTGATGGACAGTTACCTCCCCTTCTCTGAGAGCAGGGGCTCAGATGCCAGCCATGGCACTCCTAATTTAAGGAGTTAAATTTTCCTTCACCATTAGAAGTTCCCTTTCTTTGTATAGATTTAGGGCCCAAGTTTTTTTTGTTTTGTTTTGTTTTGTTTTACGAGACAGGGTTTCTCTGTATTGTTTTGGAGGCTGTCGGTCCAGCCTGGCCTCGAACTCACGGAGATCTACCTGCCTCTGCCTCCTGAGTGCTGGGATTAAAGGTGTGCGCCACCACTGCCCGGCAGGGCCCAAGTTTTTAAACTTCAATTAATTTTAATTTTTGATCCCTCATTTCCCCCATTTCTTATAGGTAACCCATTCTTGGGTTACCAATGGACAATTAAAAAAAACTGGGGAAGTTTGGCATACAGATTAGTAAATTTGTATCTTGTCTTCTTGTCCCCCGTGTAAGGGAGTTTCCTTTTGACTTAGCATCTCAACCAGGGAAAAGGGGCGATGTATTCTTTTTTATGGTACTTCCTGCTGACTTTTAGGGTATTGTCAGGGTCCCCAAGAAGGCTGAATGCTAGTCAAAAGCAAAAAGGAGATTCAGAAAATGGCGCATTTATCAGAGGCATCTAGTTTGCATCTAGTTGAAGATATGGGAGTGTTCACATCTGCTGGGCTGGTTCACATCCACAGCCAAGTCCAGGCCTAGCAGTCTTTAGGAGCAGGCTGTAGTCAGCAACTGATGCTCATCTGCCAGTAGTGAAAATCTGTTGAGACATGTTTAAACTGGGAACAGAAGTTAAAACTTATGTACTTAATTAGAACTCTTAGGCCCGTAGTTTTAATGATCAAGAAGGACAGGAGTCCCAAGACCAGAGAGAAAATCCCATCCTCAGGAACAGACAAGTGGGATAACAAAAGTTGTACTTATCTGGAGTCCTTTTGACCTGAGAGAAGTGGATCCAAGCTTTATGACTTTTGATCCTCTGAAGCCTATATGCACTTTATTATATAAAAGGACATAAAAGTTTTAGACATATTATCATTACCAGTCTGTACAGAAATCCACATTGCAGAAAAAGTAGATATTGGGTATCTGTAAAACAGTAGGAATATACTTATACCTTTGAGTGCTAGCAAAAACTGCAGATTTGGGTTAGAAGCTTGTACATTTTTCTTCTGTCCAGAGAGATCCAGGTAGAGATTGGACAGAGGTGCTTTAGGCCTGATGAAAAGCCCCTCATGTTTATACTTAGATGACAACCAAAATAAATCTTAAAACCTTGAGCTTGTGACTGAACAATAGGTAGCCACCATTCCACCAGCTTATTAGAACTATTAAATATTAAGATCTGAACTTTTGCATTTTAAGTTATTTTTATATCCTGAAGACTTATATGGCTTTATATCCTCAGATCCTTATTTAGGAGCTGTATCAAGGCTAGTCTAACCACCATCAATACTATCAGAGATCTGAGAAGGTTAAATTCTGTGTAACTTTTGAATCTATTAAAAAATGCCAAGATCTAGTCTATATACAGCTAGCCATACCCAAGTCTCCATAGCATTGGAGGCAGAAGTAAATCTTCACCAGCTCCATAAAGTGATTTTTTCTCTCTGTGGAAGAGGGACATGGAAAAGACTGACCTTATTTGGTCTAGGCAAAAGTGGTGCAATCAATTCTCCAGTGTCCTGCAGTCAGTCCATAGTCTGAGCCGGGTCCTGCCTGGTAGCAGGCATCACATTTGAGCATCTCGCTCACTGGTCTTCGTTGTCACAATCCGTGGTGCTCCATAATCTTCTTTAGAGACCTTGGGTCACTGTCAGGATCTGGTATTCTCTGTCTGATATTATAAGCTTTTTAATCAATATTTTAAATGGCATATTCTGTGGGCATCTGTAATATTAGAGGTCTGCTGCCTAGGTAACTCTGACAATTTGTTTTTAGTTACTTGTTTTAAGCTTAACCTTTGAAAACATACAGGGGACTGAGTAAGGTTTATCCCCGTTATAAATCATTGGTACTTAGCTTGACTATAACCAACAAACTTGTTTATTTATAAGGATGGCTAGTAACTTGTATTTCTTAACATCTTACAATAGGTTACCAGCTTTTATAAAACTAGGACGTTACACTGTCAAGTTTACTTTTACAAACTTAATGCTTTGACTTTTTAAAGTTTCCCATGTTGTGGTAATCCCTATTACAAAATTTTTCTGTTGTTATCAATGTAAACATCTGACATACCGGTGGTCCTAGGCTACCCTTATAAAAGGGTTTTGTTTTTTTATTTTTAAACCTCCAAAGAATTGAGACTTATGGTCTTAGATGCTATTTTAAGCCCTTTATTATTGTCTTAGTATACCATAAGAAATGCCTCAACTTTTGTTAGCATTTGAAGCTTATGTTTGTGATCATAAATTTTAGCTCTTTGATTTAAGTACAAACATTAACAATATAACATAAGCACAAATGTCTTATAACTTTATAAACTTAAACATTTTTAAAACTTTTTAAAAACAATTAAAAATCCTTTAATGTCATTTTGCAGTATCAAAAATAAAGCACCCTAAAACTATTATCATCTGGGAGACTATTAAATTTATGTTATCATTTCCCAGCGTTCCTAGTTTTAACCTTTTAACTAGTTTTAATTTTTAACAGATTTAACTATAAACAGTTTTAATACTGTCTTTATTAAAGACATTCGAATTCCTGATAACCCAAATTTAATGATCAGAGCTCAGCGATAAATTTTGAGCTATGTCCATAAATGACTAACTTCTATAAGTATTAGACAGCAAAAATATTTAAACCATTTTGTTTTAGCTCTATGCTTGTAATAAAACTTACATTCATACCAGAAACCACAGATAGAACTTTTTAAACAAATATACATAATTTTCTTTTGAGAAATAAACAAAACTTTTAAACAGAATTAACCTGGTATGGTCAAAAATTTTAACCCATATTACTAATTTTAAATTTAGTATTTGCAGATATGAGAGCCCACAATAAACATCCTCCTGACACTTTTACGACTTTTCTTTGACCCTCTTTAATTAAATTTTTTTTTATATTTCCTTACATTCTTTCTCTGATTTCCCTCAGACATCCCCATCTTAGACAAATCTCTCCTTTTCTCTTTGTCTCTCTCTTTTCCCCTCTTATTGGTGACTCTCATCAGGGGTGCATGGCTGAAGTGAATGCCTTATCTTCTTATTTTACTTTAAATCCTGAGTGTACCTTCTCAGTGTGGTGCCTTCCCCTGAGCCTCTCTGCACCCTCCGCACTCTTAACTGCTTGTTCCTTTTACTGTTTATGTGGACTTTACCAGCTCTCCTTTCATGTTTTTTTAAATAACTTTATAAATTTCTTACCTCCCTATAACTCTCCTGCATCTGGCCATTCCTTTCTCCTGTTCTACCTTGTATTGCCCAGAGAAGTAGACTTGTATTCTCAGCACCTGAAGCTCTTTCCAATGCTGCTGTGGTGTATTCTGTGGACATCCGAATTTGCACCCCCATTTGACTTGGGTATACAAACTATATATCCATAGTTTTATCCCATTTGGTCTTCTTTGCATCAGACTGATCATACCAAGTCTGCACATAGCCATCACATCTATGCACCATCTATTTTTTTAGCCTTATTTCTCCACCTCAGTCCTCAGCAGGAAAC